AGCTGCTAATGGAAGGGGATCTTCTCGAGGTGACGCTAGATGAGAGCCAGAGCATTTGGCGCTTGCTGCAGGCTGCTTGTGCTCCCCAACTTCACAAATTCCAGCAGCTACTGGATGTGAGTATCAGTCTGACGGTCAGCAGATACTCTGAGTTGTTCTCATTTGTGTGGGTTTCCACGTCTTCTTCGTGAATGTGTTAAGGCTGCCTCTAATAAAAAAGGCTAGGGAAGCATTTTTAGCCACAAAATATGCCACGTTTGTTAGTATCGCAGGAGCCGAGTCAGATTTTAAGATTCTTTGAAAGTTGGTATCACACAGGAAAGGGTAAATATGTGTGCGGCTTTAACACAAAACAGTGACGGTCAACTACAGAAATGACTTTTTTTTTTTCCCCTTCCTGTGTGACAGCTTATAGTAAGAGATAGAGGTACAAGTCAGGAAATCTGAATGCAGATTTTTTTTTCATCAGTTACCCATGTTGAAATCATTTGATTGAAAAGTTTTATTATCTGTATGGAGGACTTGGTGAAAGTTTATTGAGATATACAAGATGAAAGGGGATGATTCCTATGCTAACAGCTAATGTGAAAAATGTCTTAGGGATTTGGGCTGTGGTTTGTTCTCCAAACTTGTTTCAATATAATTCAGTATAATTTCTGAATGTTTTGTTACCAAACTAGGTTAATATCATCAGCAGGATTTTCTTGTCCTATTCTCCTTAGCTTATAAATGTCTTGACAAGGACAATAAAATCCTGCTGATGATATTAACCTAGTTTGGTAACGAAACGTTCAGAAATTATATTGAATTATATTGAAACAAGCTTGGAGAACAAACCACAGCCAAAATCTAAAACCCGAGCTACAAGTATTTTCTATTATTTCAATGTCTTTCAAGTGGGTCATTTTTTCAAAACTTGGAATTTTTAAGATTTTCCCCCCACATTTTTCAGCAACTGCAGCAGTTGTTATCTTTGGAACATCAAAGAAAGCCAAAATTACAGCATCTTCACCCTTTGCTTTTTCTAACTGCACAGGTAGTCCTCAACTTACAACCATTTGTTTACTGACCGTTCGGAGTTACAATAGCACTGAAAAAAGTGACACACGGCTATTTGTTTCACTTGCGACCATCGCGGTTGCAGCATCCCCATGATTGCGTGATCAAAATTCAGACGCTGGGCAAGTGGCACGTATTTAGGACCGTTGGGAGTGTCCCAGGGTCACGTGATCCCCTTTTGCGACCGTCTGACAAGCAAAGTCCACAGGGAAGCCAGATTCACGTCACAACCGTATTACTGATTTAACAGCTGCAGTGATTCACTTAACAATTGCTTAGCAGCAGAAATTCTGGGTTCGGTCACGGTTGTGAGTCGAGAACTGCCTTATTCCACACCAAGCAGTCGCTATGATACGTGTCTCTGTACGTTCACAGATTTTTGTTGTTGTGTTCTTATATACTGGGGAGTATTAAAGCCCTCAGTAAATGAGGATGGGAAATGAGCAAAACCTCTTCTGCTTATAGAAGCTTTCTTTCTTCAGCATTTTGTGACGGGGGGGGGGTTGCATCTTCAATACTCTCCCCCTATTCAAGAACTGCAACTAGGATGGTCAGAAATACGTAATTATGGCAAAAAAAATACCCCGGGTATGTAATTATGCCTTTTAGCCACATTATTGTGTTCGTAAGATTCATCCACATGATGCCACATATGTGTGTTAAAAGTGTAGGCCTAGTTTTCAGTCCCTGAGCTCTTGTCTTTTTCCAGCTGGAGCAAGCAGAGCGGCGTGCCACCCGCGGGCGAGGCCGAGACTCAGAGCGACGGCGGAAACGCAAGACAGAGCGTGGTGACGGCCCAGTCCTGCCTAAGGAGGAATTAGAGCCAAAGAAGATCCGGGGGGCAGACGCGGTGCTGTCCCAAGGTGGCGGTCCCCCTGCAGCAGGCACAGACTGTAGCCACAATGGAGTCGGAGTAAGTGAAGAGGAAAGATGCCACCAAGTTGTCTGGGGGTGTTTACAGGGCAGGTAGGGGTTTTTTTTGTAACAGACTGACCTAGTTCCTAACGTGTTGTAATAATTGTCTTCCCTAGCAGTTGTGACGGCTAGAAGATGCCTGGATTTCTCCTTCCTGGACTATACTGTACTGTAAGGGACTCTGGCAGCCCCAGGTCACTCAGTTGGCTTGACTAGCACTCTGCATGGGGAGGCGCCCGGCCCTAGAAGTTGTGGCTGCATCTCCCCCCACTCCCCAGGACTTGGCACTGGCCCTGCATCAGACTATTTTTCAGATGATGTAATATTTTATTTTCTTTTTCCTCCTTTTGTATTGTCGATAACTGCAGAAAGGGGAGGCGTTGCAGGGGTCACCAACGAGCAGGGCCCGCGTTCTCTTTGGCAGAAGCAGCTGAGGGTATCACCGTGTTGCTGTAAGGATTGAAGCCTTGCAGAGATCCGGCACGGGTGGTAGAATGTGCCGGGACTTATGCCCGGCTCCTCGCTTCAGGCAGTGAAAGGAGTGGAGGGGGGCGCTCTCTCTCTCTCTCTCTCGAGAGGAGAGTGTCCTCCTTTTTGTACCAGCATTCCCTGGATACTGCAGGGACAGCACCTCCTGTTGCACAGAGGGGCAGCTCTCCCTAGACACCCCTATCCTCCTCCCGGTACCTGTTGGGTTTTATAGGAATTGTGGTAACCACTTTATTCTGTAGGGTGGTGGAAAAGGCAAGGAATATTTTAGTTCCACTCCAGCCACTACTCCACCCTCATCGTCCCACCCCCAAATCATGGGCCCCTCTACTGCCTCAGGCTCTGACACTAAAAAACCTTTTGTCTTTCTCTTTTTAGTGTTTTCCTTTATTTTCTCCAGCAGAGAAGGGTGGGATGTTGGGGGTAGGGAGGGGTGTGTTATTTTATTGTATTATGATTTTTTTATTATTAAACTTTGGAGGTTAACAAATTTACTTGGATCTTGGGATAAAGACGACCTGGTCAGTTAGAGTTGCTGGTGGCAGTTGTGAGCATGCCCAGTTTCACACCACATATTGTCAGTACTGTAGCTTGTTTTCTAATTTCCTACTATGTAGGAGCATGACCCTAGAGTAACGAGAAGCCCTGAGTATCTGTTTCCTTGTTTCAAACCTGAATTTTTGTATCATGGTTCTCAGTGAGGTGTAGTGTGAAATGGTTCTTTCACATTACTAATCGTTGTTGTAGATAATTATATTTTGTTTTCTCCAATTGTTAGATACACATAATCAGAGAATTGCAATTCTTGCAAAAATAATATATTGCCAATGACAAAAAGCTAAGAATATTAGGAACAAATCTTTCAGACCAGTGAAATGTAATAAAATTTCCTGAAATATTTCAGAAACAAACAAACAGGAAAAAAAAACATCCAGAGAAGTAGTAGGACCAGTAGGTGAAGACAAAAAAGTAGAAATATGATAAGGCAAGTGAGTAGAACCTGAATTCTGTCAGTTTCATTCCAGAGGAATTTAAGAATCTTTTTGGAGAATGCACCTTTAAAGATATGCTAAGCAAAGGTGATCAGAGGGTTCATGATAATTAAAGGAGAAACTGTTAATATCGAATGGGCTACATATTATTTAACCACGATTTCTTAATTTTAATATAAAAGTTTGAGCTAAAATGTATGACTTATAAAAAGTGGCATTTTCTGTATATTTGTAGAAAGCATTATTATACTGAAGGTAGTTGAATACACACCTTGGACAAGCCGAGGAAGAATTAGCATGGATTCTGTAAGAGAAAAATCTTAGAATTCTTGTGTCTCAGATGTGAAATTAGTGATCATCGAAAGATCGTTGTGTACTTGAAATTTTCAAATGCTTTTCACAAAAATCTCATACCAAAGCTTATATTGAATGAGAGGATATATCTTCCCATGCCTCAATCTTTATCTAGGAAAAATGCAAGTAAAGACACCAAAATACTCTTAAATTTTAGAAATGAGGCATAGCGGAAATAAATAGGGAATAGCCAAGTTGGCACCCGGAGTTAAATTATGAAATCCCCAGCAGCCTTGGAAAAGGGCTTTGAAAGAGTTTCCCATCATCACATATTCTGGAATTCATTCCGTGAGCTGTGGTGATAACCCCCTTCTTCCCTCACGCCCCGACTCCAATGGCTTTTTAAAAACAATACATTCTTCAAGAATAAAGCCGGTAAGACCTATCAAGGGTGCAAAGTAAATGAAATTTAAATGTGTATTACAATTGGGACGATGACCGCAGTATGGACCAACTGTAGATGAAACTTGCCTTTGATCTAATACAGAATCTGTTTGTTCTTGTTCTGGAAAAGCTCATAATCTGAAAGGTTCTTAACCGTTTCTGTTTAAACTATCAGAAAGGTGGAGGTAATAGAGATAAAGGCCTATGTGTTTCTGCCATAAAAAGGTATTTCCTTCAAAGAAGTTGCAACTGTAATTAATACTGAGCGAGCCTCTGTAATGGGTTAAAGCCTCCTGCTTTGTTTTGACTGAAAAGCAGTTGATACGTATATAGACTGGCATTTGTGCCCACTGTATGTATCACCAAGCCCATATTCTGTATTTCCTTATTTGGTTACAAAGAGGACAAAAAGAGGAACAATGTGAGTACTTCCATTGAAGCAAGGGTTCCGTTTAATACCTGTGGTGTAGGCAGTACTTGGGATAAACCACTTTTTTTTTTTTTGTTAACATTGCCCTCTTTCGGTTCGTGATAGGGTTGATTCTAACAAGGCTGGATCTTAAAAAACTACTTGTAACATTGGGCTCACTGTGCGTGGAAATGTTCTTCCTTTCACAAATCCGCAATGGCCCTTTTCCATTTTGTTTAGAAAATAAACTGGTATTTTATTTTCTGCTACGTGCTTCTGCAGCATAGGGTTAATAAAATGGTGGCGTTAATGTTGAAGGAAGCCCCACAGTTTTCCTTCTGTGATGTGAGAGGATGGCATAAGGTTTGGGAATGAATACTGTAAAAAAAAAAAAAAAGAATCCTAAAGCCAAAGCCTTTGCAATTAGCACTGGTCACCTTTCCATTTCAGGAAAGAGCCAGTAAGCCCTGGTCCTGAAAACCCTGGAATTAGCCTGGACACACCACACCACACCCTTTGTTAGCAATAGTGTTGTCCCCGCCATCTGGAGGAAGCAAAGAGGATTTTCCCCATCTCTGGATTCACTCAGCTCTTACAAAGAGTCCACTGGAATGTCATTCTCTCACGCCAAAGATTAGGTCAAAGCCTCTCCCTGCCCACCACTGTCTTCCGTCCAGCTCAGCTTCGAGGTGGCGTTCGATGCCCTGCCCACGGCTTGGAGCGGTGATGGTGATGATGGCGACGGCGGCCGCTGCTGCTGCTGCTGCTGCTTTGGGAGTGATGGGGACTGCTGGTGGTCCAGTTCAGTGAGGGCTGCTGAGTAGCTCTGTACCAGTTGGATTGCTGTTCAGAACCCCACAAGCTGGGTCCCGCATGGGACTGGTGGCCACCCTGGCTGTGCTGGATGTCTTGGGCTCTGTTGAACTGTTGCCAGTAGCTCTCGCAAATACCCAGGGTGGGTGTCTCTTCAGAGCTGATGGCCCCCTCCAGCAAAGCACGCGGAAGGACATGCAGACGAAGCCGCCGCAGTGTGTGGCGAAAGCGGTTCTCGGTGCCTATGCATTGGTAGAGCCCACTGTCAGATGGCATCACTGGGCCTAAAAGCACACCCTGAGGTGTCTGAAGCAGTATGCGATCCCGGGGCAGCTGGGAAGGAAAGAGCATGTGACATAATTGAAATTATTTTGCTTTTTTAAATGCGCATCTTACACAACTGTTTCACTAGTCAGCGGCCTAAGTCTGCATAAGCTGTAGTGTGGTTGGTTTTGAGCTAACGAAGTGTATGTGAGTCTGATTACAGGTTTTGTCAATTCGGCAAAGTGTCAGTTGCCAGTTTCAACATCCACCGTAAGACAGCAACTTTAGATTTTGTTCTTTAAAAAGTGCCCACTGTGTGATCAGATTTTCCAATCCTCAGCTTTAAGTTCCCACCGTCTCGGTGCACACAGCATAAGGTCATGTCTAGTAATGTTTAGCAGGACTTACCACTTTGCGTTTGGTAGAGTCGTCTGTCTGCATAAGCCACTTGATGGTCGCGTGGGGAGATCGGGGTTCACACTCCAGAAATACGCTTCCTCCTTCTAGTCCGTATTGAATCTGTTCACTTAATTGCTGTTCTGCTGTGATGGGGGGCAGGGGGACCGGGAGGGGAACAGCATTCCTTGAGTTCTGAGACCCCACTGCATCTCAGTAAAGGCTGGAAGTAGACAGTCTGCTAAGCACAAGTCTGGCTTCCAACAGTTGTTGCTATAAACATATTTAAGAAACCCAGCAGCTATCACCAAATTTCTGCTAAAGTGAACACAATAGGACTGCTCATTTCTGACTCATTTCTAAAGTGCTGTGCTACGACGACGTACCGCTTTGCCAGGAAGAGGGAACAAGCTTCAAGGAGTTCTCCTAACTCGAACACCATAAAAAAAATGAAGCATTTATAGGAAGTGGTCCTTGGATGCAGTAGAAATTATAAGAACCTGTTACTCCTGGGTTGTCCTGTTCAGAGCAAGAACAATCTGGTGGTTGTCCACTGTAAAAATGTGTGCAAAGCAGACTCCTGGTTAAACTTTCAAGTACTACAAAGGCAACAAAATAAAACTTTTTACAATACAGCTCTTGCCAGTGTCTGTGCTATCTTGGGCTGATGGGAGTTGAAGTCCAAAACATCTGGAAGATATTAATGTAATCTATCCAGGACCGCTTAGAAGTAGGCCCCTTTTCATTCCCCAGCAGTTTGAAGAGAGCATGTGCACAATTACAGCCTAGTCTGTTGCTAGATATCTTCATTTCCACCTCTCTTTTTTTTCTTTAATAGTTAACTAAAGTAATACAAGTTTTGCCACATAAAGCAGGGTTGCCTAAGTGATGGCTTGCATGCCCAATGGGGAACTTGTGCAAAAAAAGGCATCATGCTCCCTTTGTGGATCAATAAGACACTTTTGCTTTTTTGCATGGATCAGCTGTGCAACAGTTTCAAGGTGGGAGTGGACAGTGAAATCATTCAGCAAGTATAGGTGTGTGAGAAATTGAATATGCAGAGTGTGTGCAATGGGGCTGGACACAAGAGAGAAGAGATATATGAATATATGGGACTATGATTTTGGATTCAGCCACTGCTTCAGGAAAGTTGCTCATAAAAGAAATACAATTTAGGATAAGGGAACAGTTTCCTAAGCCAAGTCACAAAATTACGAGCTCTGTTAAAAATATGATACAATTATAAACTGCATCAGGAAGAGTAGCTTAATAGGGACAGTCCTTTTATTTGCAGAAGTGCTAATAAGTTATCCAAGGAGTCTAAAGCAAGAATCCATGTGCCTTTTGATGTAGAGTTTTATCAGTTTCCATGGAGATTTAAGTTACCAAAAATAGGATGGTGGAAACCATGCACTGGTGTTGAGGTCCAATTCATATAATTTTCTTGGTTGGGCTACAAAAACATCATCTGGAATGTTTCTCAACTTTCTCAGTCTAGCCAAGCATCTGAAAGAGGTAACTTATGTTAGCAGAAGCTACACTAAATGATCCATGGGGAGATAATCACTAGAGCTACTGCTAGATTTTGCACTACAATATGTGGTTCACTTGTTCTTTACAGCTTTAGATAGTCGTCTGACACAATACTCAATTCACTATTTCAATAACCAGGACAAACAAAAAACTACTAGCAGTTCCCCAAAGAATGATTTCCTTGTATCTACCTAACAGTATATACATCTACCACCGTGTTCTATGTTGTTGCACAATTTTACCCTTGCAATTAGGGGAGAAGCAATGCCAACCGAAATATGAGATGCTGTATTCAGAAAATCTAAACAGATAAAATCCAGAATGTGATGCAGTCCTTTTAGAAGTGAAAGTTAAAAAGACAAAGCCCCCAAAGAAGTAAAGAAGGTAGATGCAACTGAGAGAAAAACCTTATGAAACAGACATCAATGAAAAAGTATAAATCACTTTCCCCAATCTGGTGCCCTTCAAACAGTATCTGATATTTTCTAGGACTTTAAGATCCTCTAATCTCCTCTGGGGAGACAGTGAACAATCATTACCAAAGATACCACGCTTCAAAAAGCAGGAGGAGCCCACTGCTTAACATACAAATGCAGGAAAGTCTTAAGATTATTAATTCCAGTTGTAAATGTCAAGGAGCTGTTCTCTAATTATAGCTGTACAAAACCCATGTATCCGGCTCTCAATAAATGTATGAAAATAGCACAGGAAAATAAAAAGCACAGGAAGAGCTAAATTAAAATGCAGTGCTTTTACTCAGATAAACTTTTATTTCCCACTGTACAATTTTGCATCCTTTTCCAATATACGCCTGGCCAACCAGACACGTAACTTATCCTTGTTTCCATTCCAGTAGCCAGCCAAGTGCTGTTTCCTCTAGCGTGCCTAGCCATCAGTAGGAGAACAGCATCACCTAGGAATTCCTTACTTCGTTTCCCAATACTTCCATGCTCCAGAGAGGAAGAGAAACAGTTTGAAAAGAATCGGGAAACTTACATAATTTAGCTAGCAATAACTACATTAATTTTCCGATCTATTAGCTTCCAGATGTGTTGATATTCCAGCCTCCAGTACCTTCAGTTATGACCATCGCTAAATCAAGTTAATGTGTATTTAGATAATATCATTGCACTGACATCAGCCTGCACTGCTGGTGACGCAAGCTAACACAGGCCTTCTCCATCCACTGAGCTGTTTTTCTTTTGCAACTCCCTACAAATTATCCTGTTCTAAGAAGCCTCAACCCTGCTTTCTCTTTTTAGAATGGGTCTTAACATCTAGCCAACTTCCTGAATGGTCAATTAAATTCTGCTCCTGCCTCAGTATGAGGCCGTCCTCTAATCATGAATGCTGGAGAATAAGTGCAATTTCACTTTATAAATCTCCATTATATTTAATGTTCCAAGTACAACCTTTTTCCTTCCCCCTTCCAATTTGGGAATAACACGAGCATTGAAATCTGCCTAATATGTAACAGACAATTGGTGCACCTAGCCAAATATTGCCTACTAAGTGGCAGCAACTTTCCATATTGCATTACCATCATGTATCTCCTGGTACTTCTTAAAATAAGAAATGCCAAGATTCCTTTGGCATCCAAAGTAGGCATATTTTCCATGGAATAATGGTTGTACAGATAGCCCTTGGTTTACAACCATTTGTTTTGCAAGTGTTCAAAGTTATGATAGAACTGAACAAGGAAGCCTATGGTTGGTTCTTGAAGTTGTCATCATTGCAGCGTCCCTGTGGTCATGTGTTTGCCATTAGTAATCTTCACAACCAACTTTAGACAAACCAAGTCAATGGGGATTGACCTAACAGCTGCAGCTGGAACTGCTGGAACTACCATTGAAAGTCAGCACAGTCACATGATGCTGCCCTTTATGACAGTGTCACTCAGCCACGGTTACCATGGTTAAACAAGGAATACCCATGCTTCTATTATCCTTCATTAAAGCATAAATTTTGCAAATGTCTGCTGCAAAAATCCAAAGGATGTGCAAAGAATGAATATTTTCTATCTTTTTGCTATTAGCTAGTGAACATTTTTGCAGCCTGGATTTGGTAGCCTTCCTGTTACTCTTCATTTTAAGAAGAAAATCTGACTGGAGTTGGGCAGCTCAATCTTACAGCCAAGTTTTCTTTAGACTTTTACTTCACTGCCTTCTTTGCAGTGTTTTCTCCAAAGACGCTGGCCACTAGAGATCCTAACCTGTGTAAGAGATGTGAGCAAAATGTGCCTTTTCATCCCCTATGCCAGCCTGTTCCCCAGGCTGCTAAATTACTTCTGTGTCCTTTATTTAAAAAACAAACAAACACAATATTAGCTGCCACGTAGACATGATGACCATTCATAGGCAGATCTGGAGAGACTTACCCTTCGCGTTAAAACCACGGCACTGCCTGAGGGGATCGCCATGCTTGATATCCTGGCGACGGCTCCTCCTGGTCAGAGACAAAAGATACACCCTTCATTGCTCACTCTCTTTCTTAACACAGCAACTGAGGAAATACGTTGTTCACAACAAATGTGATGTGATGACTCCCCATATGCTTCCTCTTTAGGGCTTGATGGTAACTTTCAGAGGAGCAATGCCACCATCCTCCTGTCTTCAAAGCAACTTTTATGCACAACACACTTGCTAACCAAGGAAGTTGGTTTAAGAGTTGAGGCAAACAGGAGAACTCAGTGAGGCAATTAATCTGGAGAGGATTGGCTTCAGCTCCAAACAGACCTCAATTTGTTTAGAGCTAATCTAAGTTCCATCAGTAGCCCAAACTACCTGAAAATTAACTGCCCCTTTCAATGCCTGTTTCTTCTCCAGGCACTTCATCTCAATTAGCACTTCCTTTCCGCAGAGTCACACAAAGCAATGTTTATATGAAAAGAGAGAAATCAGAACGAGGTAGGGAATGGGGGAAAAAATACCCGCATATGTACATATATACATGCGACTGTAATTTGTGGCTGCTGGAAGAATCTAGAAAATCCAAGACATCACAGATTTCCTCCGCTGCCAGCTCATGGAGGGGGTAAGGACAGCATGGTCAGCCGTACTGCAGGAACACAGCCGCTGATGAACAATGTTATTTTCAATCTCAATGGAGGGTGTTTTTCCCAAGGAGGTCATGTCATGTCCCTAGATAATTCCTCACTGGAGGGAAAAGGGGAGGAAGACACCCAGGATGAGTGGAATGGAACCACATTAAGACCTAAAAAACAACAGTTTTACTGGTGTAGCTTAGAGACAGAGAGATTATCTTAGAAACAGTGTTTCTTGAGAATATGAAACTCGGAGGCTTTAATTATCAACAGCTTGGTTTGGGTGAAATTTCATAAGCACACACATACCAATAAGTGTTAGATGATAGATGATAGATAGATAGATAGATAGATAGATAGATAGATGATAGATAGATAGATAGATAGATAGATAGATAGATAGATAGATGATAGATAGATAGATAGATAGATAGATAGATAGATAGATAGATAGATAGATAGATAGATAGATAGATAGATAGATTAGATAGATAGATACTGTAGATGGATGGATGGATGGATGGATGGATGGACGAACAGGTTGTATCAAAAATCAGTTCCCATGGACAATGCATTATATAAATTACAGTTAAATGTTTGAAATGGTTGCCATTTTTTCTAAATGCTACCTGACGCATTTGATGCATGACTGTTAAACACTCCTAAGTACAGTAAAATTTTCTCTGGGAAAATAATAATAAAATATACTGTGATTGGCCTAGAGGGGCTGACTTTTGGAACACCCTGTGTATATATGTATGGGTGTGTTTATATAGAGATACAGATTTATAAATACATAGATACAGTGTATAAATAAACACAGACAAACACACGTTTTCTGTTTCAGTCAAAAAAAGAACTCAAGCAGTTCTTTGATTTGCTGCGCTCAACCTTCTCTTTTGGTGGACTGACTCCAAATTCTGTTGTCTTGAACCGACTCAATTTTTCTTGCCATGTGTACAAATCTGCCTTGACTCATGTCTCTGTTTAGCTGTGCATGACTTAAAGTCTGTCTCATGATTATACCATAAGTTTAACCCTCTGCCTGACTGCTAAACTGCTCTGATTTCTGTTCTTGTCAGCAGTGCAATAAGACGATGCCATCTTGGTGAAAAGAGGAAGCAACCTCTGCTAGATCAGGCAGGGAACAGAGAAAATCCAGGCCAAGGTGTCAGGATTGGTCCTGCCACGTCTTGCTTCTCACAGGCAATTGACTAAATAGGATGGCCTGTTTTGCTCCTTCCAAAGTTCATCACGATTTCAGCCATCTCGCTGAGACACACAGAATTTGGACCCTGGTTGGCTTTGCCTCCAAACTCTGCAATGTGCATTAGCAGTTTTGGAAACTGACCTTTTGGCTGTGTGGCTGTAGCGGGCACAACGTTGTCCATCCCATGCACAGTAGGGATCCCGGGCCAGACAGCAATCAGCACAGGCTTCACCATACTCCCGGCATCGGTGGAGGCTCAGCTGGGAAACGCCCATGTCAGAGGAGACATAGAGCTGTTGCTACAAAAACAGGAGAGTGGGATAAACCCAGGGCTTTTGCTACTCATCTGCTGTTCCCAGATCCCTTTGTCTCTGATGAACTGAAGGCGTTCTTCCTTCTCCCACTGATAGGCAACTCTTATATAGTAACTCTTTGTGCCCTGTTTAATTCCTTAGCAATATATATCCTGAACAACCACCTACTCGCTTTGAGGATATCCACAGTGTCTTCACTGGAGCTGGTACCTATAAGGCAACAAAAGGGGGGGAGGAACCTTGAGAAGAGCAAAAATGGCGAAGGTTAAACAACATAACAAGGAGGGGTCATGACTGGGCTTGTCTATTTGCTCACCCTGAACACCTCAACTTCCTCCAGAGTCAGTTCTTCCAGTATCCCTTGTTCCTTGGGCAACACAATCACCTTCTGCACTGTACCTTGGTCTGGGATAGAGAAGATAGAAGCATTAATTACTCATGCTGCTCAGTGAAGGACATATGACTCCACAGACATTCTAAGAGCTGACCCATTTCTGAGGATAATGAAGAGATAAGGGCTCTGGGAACGGTGGATGAGTATAATAATCTAGATTACAAGACTTTTGCCTTTCAGAATGAGAAACTAAAAAGTAACACAGGCCAGCACCACAATCGTAGCTGCTCCTCAGGTGGAACTGCAAAATGCTGGACATACCTGTGCCAAGGAAGAGCACCTCGTAGCGCCCATCCACCGCATCCACAAGATCCACAGCCAAGGTGGTGAAGCTGTAGGGGACATTGGTCCTCACCAGGAGGGGACGGCGCTGGAGGGGGTAGACTGCATGGAACATCAAGGGATGGGCCCGCACAAAGGTTACCAGCTCATCAGAAAACTCACGTGTGGAGCGAAGGCCTGGGGTGAAGGTTCCTCCCGGGCACTAAAAAAGAAAACGAACCCATGAAGTCATAACTGGAGAAAAATTAAAGAATTAGGATTCAGGTTCCCTTTTCCTGCTTGCTTTATTCAGAATTAGAAGCGAGCCAAGAGGTTACTGGAAGGAGTTTACAGAATGAGAGGAAACAGGAAATGAAATCTTGAACCCTTGGAGAGTAAGATGCTGGGGACTCACGGCTCCAGGACGAGGGTAAGGCACACGTCCTGTATATGGCCCCCACTGGTAGTTGTGTCCTTCCTTGTGGGCAAAGGGCCCATTGAAGACCGTGCGGATGTCAGCCATGGAGTAAACACAGACTGCCGAGCCACGGAACACTGACCTTGGGAGAGAGAAGCAGGGCCAGAAGGAGAGGGGAATGGTGCTGGGATCTCCTACAAAGGCTCTCCCCATCCCGATCACACGGGCTTTACTCACCCCAGGGTGGAGAAGACCCCATAGAGCAAGGGATGCTTCTCATCCTGAGTCGGCAAAAGGAAGACGTCACCTGGGGAAGGAAACAATCCAATCAAGCACTTTGAGGGAGACAGGTGCAGAGTTTGCATGCAAAACTCTAGGGTGGTGTTTCTCAACCCTGGCCACTGGAAGATGTTTGGACTTCAACTCCCAGGATTCCCCAGTCAGCACAGACGGATCTATTTCAGGGCCATGCTTTGAGGCTTATCTTGCCCAACCTGGAAACCCTCCAGATGTGTAAGGATTTCCAATGCTTTCAATGGCCAGCTGGCATGAGAAAGTCATTTTAAGAAACAAATGAAAGAGAAAGATATTTAAATGAGGGCTGTTTTTTTTTTTTTAATAGCCATTTCACATACTGGATTCAGGGACTGTTTATAAAACGGCCAGGACCGACAACACTGCCAAATCCAAATGGGTGCTATATTATATTGACTTGAAATCCTGCATCTGGGTTGTTCTACAACACTTAAAGCAGAAAGTGTTTTTAGAATGGCCATAATATGCTGATGCTAGATTTCAATGGCTATTTTTTGTCATATGCCCATATTTAACTCCAACAGCTGGAATCTCTCCCCGAACTTTAGGCAGAATTTCTGGCTCACATCCTTGAACAACCCAGCCCGGCCTCTTTCATCAAGTTCCAATTTTCCATACCTTCACCGCTATCACTAAATCCCCAAACCTGTCCCTCCCTCTCCCAAGGACAAAAATCTCTCTGTCCAAAAGAAGGGCTCACGCAGCTCATCAAAGAAAGTCTCCACGCCATCCTCTCCAATCACGGAGCACACGAGACGAGCTTTAAGGAACGTCGTCCACTTGTTCAACAGGGAACGCAGTCCCCCATCGTCGTTCTGAACAAAAAAAAAAGCAAGAGATTTACTAGGACCCTCCCCCACTCTGTGATTCCACAGATGCATAAACCTTCGAGAAAAAGAAAGACACAGAACCCCTTTGGAGCTGCACGGTGGCAGAAACAGCTGTTTGCACCTGGGAACTATGGCGCTATTTCAGCCTGCAGGATGTGAGCAGCAAAAATTAAACTGAATCAAGGTACAGGGCAGGTGATACCTGGTAGAAGAGCCTTCTCCATCTTAGGACCGCTAGACGAATAGGGCTACACCTACCATTGACCCAAGCCAGCAAGGGCCTGTTTGAGAAAGGTTTCTTCCAGGTTTGAGGCAGATCTGAAGACCTCAACTGAGTGCAATGGGAAGCTTTAACTCGACAGTCAATAGGTACAGCTATGGCATGTGGTCTCCAAAAACCGTGGCTCTTCCAACAGCTGTCACCCAATTGCAGTGTGTAATGTGACCAAAGGGGGGAATTATTAAAAGATGAGGAATCACCATCTTATAAATGTGTAATAAATTAAATTTTAATTTAATTTAATTGAAACATATCTTATTAAATCAAATTTAGTTTTAATCCTGACCCCACCTGACCTTCTATATGTGGTTGCTGGCATGCCCAAGGCTGAATTCCTTTGGCTGGAACAACTGCTCACCCTTGATCTAAAATCTCCAGATTAAATACTTTTTTTTTTGCAACTTCCCACCACAGGAGAGCCATGCCAAGAGAACAATGAGGCTCCAGGGAAGATCTCATTTCCCTTTTCTAATTGTGGACCTGGGCCTTCTCAGGGCTGAACGAGCCATTTGGCTATACAGTAGCGTTTCAGCCCTTCACGCTGCCTGCACTCCTGAGAACTCACCATAAATTGCAACACAACAGCTGCTCCCTCGCCACACTGTAGGGGTGCACTGGCCATTCTTCCATTTGCTGGGAAATTTTAAAATCTACCAGGGAGGATTCTCAAGAAAACCCCTCAGAAGATTGTGTTCACGACTGTGTATCCCCGGAGAGCAGAACGGATACATGCACACTTACCATCTACACCAGGGGTCCTCAACCTTGGCAACTTTAAGACTTGTGGACTTCCACTGGCTGAGGAATTCTGGGAGTTGAAGTCCACAAGTCTTAAAGTTGCCAAAGTTGAGGACCCCTGATCTACACTGTCCATAGAATATGTATGTTCTCTGCAACAGGCAAGGGACAAAAATTGCTTGTAGCTCTTTGTGCCTTTCCCTTGGCCCCCCCAACCCCCTTTCATCCACCTCCCCCAAGGTCCAATACGCTTGCTTGAACTTCTCTGCTCAGTCGCTGCTGTAAAGCTGGTTCTTTTCACCCTTTTAGTTTTCCCTCTCCAAAGTCAATTGCTACTTTGGCAAATCTTAGCCGGGGGTGGTGGTGGTGGTGGGTCCTTATAGTGTGACCCTTTTTATTTCTCACAGAAGTCTTTAGCATTCCTGTCCCATCAACACTTGCCAATTCTGTTTGCTCTTAAAGATCGTGGCACCTTCAAGAGGGAGGTCTTACAAGCAGCGGACACTTGTTCTTTCCTAGTATTAGAATGGAAGTCAAGCTTGGTTCGGCTCCTGAATCAAACCATTCATTACCTTGGACGCTTGTTAGAGTTGCTAAGGAGAACATCAGCTCTGCAGTAGAAGAGGTCAACCAGCTAAGCACACCTCCAGCAGCAGCTCTCGGTGGCTCAGCCCTTTTCAGAATTCCCTGCCCACCCCAGTCCCCACCCCTCCCCCAGCAAAGATAAACCCCACTTTAAGTCCTGCTCACCAGGCACACCCGTCCCACCCGAGCGAGTACGGCAGGCCCCACGGCACCCTCCAGTGCTTTTTCCCGGAAAAAGAAGTAGAGCTTGTCATCGCTGTGGTCGGAGCTGTCGGGAATGACGTGGGCTTGGAGGAAAACAGGGTCTGAGGAAGGGGAAAAGAGATGCCACCGCATGGGTTCACCACTAGATGGAGACGACAAGCGCTCTAGTTTCGCCTGAAGCAAACTTTTGGGAAGAGATGCTGCCATAAAGAAAGTCCGAAGTATAAGGGTCACTATGCTTGGTATGTACAGTTCCTCTGCAGGTCACTGTCTACTCCTGTGCCTTGGGGCACTTATGCCTGTGGATCAATCAACTGAGGCCTAGAGGCTGCAATGGAACGGAGGAGAGAAAATCAAACTTTGCAATCCTTGCCTTTTCATCGGCTGCAGAAGCCCCAAGCCATGCCTTGTAGGTAATCCGAGTACAATTTTTAATGGGACAGAAGCAGGCATGACATCAACGGGGGAGCAATCATATGAAATTGCTTGCAATGCAATGATGGTTCAGCTCCCTGCTCCTGCCGACATTTTGGATTTCAAGAGCAGTCCTCACCCTAGCAAGATTACCCTACCTTTTTCTGGGTGATTGGTAAGTCCTGGCATTATCCTGATGTCATCATCCTCCCCGCCCCCTTGCTGCATAAGATATTCACACCATACGAATTCACTCTTCTATGCTTTATCCATCATGGTCTGTTATCTCATCGTTCAGTCCAATTTCCCCCCTTTGTTTTTTCTTTAGATGGTGTTTGGCTTCCTACCATAGAGCCATCGGGAATCGTGTTGCTCTGTACGTACAGCTGGGCGCGGTCCCATGGTCCGGAACAAAGCAGCATCGGTGCCCATGAAATCCACATGAACTCCAGCATACAGTGTGCTATCTGGAGGGAGGGGGTGGAGCAGAAAGAAGAGCAACGATCTCATTGGGTGTAATCATATGCAGGCATAACCAGGGAAACTCTGCAAGATCTGGAGTTTTGAGACTATTAAAATACGGGGAGGTGCCTTAGGCTTTGTCAATAAAATCTAGTCAACAGCATGGATATCCTTGAAGGTGAGGTAGGGAAATGGCACAGGGTGCGCTTGTGTGTGATGATGCCATTGGCACAAAGGCCACCGTTTATGTATCAGATATTGTGACATCAGAACATATTGGTGCCTTCCAGCCGTGTCATCATCACAGGCACGGCATCAATGGAGCATCATTAGGGTTTCTGATAGATGCTGCTATTGCTGGTGCTACAGGCACCATCTTGCCCGGGTGTCAGACAATGGTACTTCTCAGCTCTGCTCCCCCCCAAATCCTTTTAAATGAAATGCCAGGGATGAACATGAGACCTCAGCCATCCCAAGCATTTCTGTGCAATTAATGAAAGCTTCTCTCCCAAGTACTTTGTCCCCCTCCAGTCAGCTGTTTACTTCCTCCAGCCCTGATAACAAACCAAAAGCCACAAAGATCAGATAGGAGCTATAGATAGCAAGGTTGTCCGGCAATTCAGATTCAAAGGAAACCTGCAATTCAAAGATCACATGGACACACACATGCGCACACACACAACACATGTCAGCAACTGCTTAAATTAATCACAAATTTTTTTTGGGGGGGGGATAGTATGACAGCTGTGGAGGGCAGTCATGCCACCCAGGAAAAAGCAGCTTGGGTTTAGCAGCAACACAGTATCCACATAGGCATTGACCGGAAGGATGCCTATGCAGCAGCATACTAGTTGTACTTTGTATGTTAGCAATACTTCATCCAACTCCACTCGTTCAAAGCTACTTACTGACAAGCACAGCCATGCTGGACTGCCGGGGGTCGTAAGGACATTTCCCCTTGCCTGGTTCCAGTGAATGAGGCACTGTGCGGAACAGGTATTCCTGTGGAGGGGCAAACAGGGAAAGGACAACAGGACCATCATCACAAAAACTTACTGTGATTTCAAGTCATTTAGAAATGAAGCCACTTTCAGAGTAAGGCTTCCAGTCCCTGCTTCCAATTCTGTCTTTGCCCTGCCCTCTTTTCTTGACTGTCCCTTCATAGCAGTGACCTTATATCAAGGCAGACCACTAGCCAGCCGAGTTAATTACTATTTTCTGCTCTGATTATTTTTCTCAAAGTTTCCCGAAGATGCCACAGATTGAGAATAGAGAGATGTCTTCTATCCCTAAGATACTCTACGGTTCTTTTCCAGCAGGAAGACGGTGGGTCGTGAGTCCTTTTTCTTACTTCAGAGCGCCAACCACGATTGATAAGGATGCAGACTGGGTGATAAGCTCCTGTTCCACAGGCGTAGAGATGAGTACGGTTCAAGGGTTCCATAAGCCGTATGTAGTTGAAACATTCGCCCTACAGGACATGAAGAAGTAAAACGTGAACTGGAAGACATAAGGTTGCCAGGCAGGAGTTAATACAGTCTCCATCTTCCTGGGAATATATAGATTAAGGATCCTGGACTATGTAGAATCAAAAAATAGCAACTGAGACAAAGCCAAAAGTAACGATTTTCTTTCCAGAGATGCAAGAAATCAAATAGCTTTCGGACACCCAAAACCAAACATATTTCCAGTTCACAGAGACCTAATGCATCGAAGCCAAGCCAATAAACACACTAGGTACAGGGTAACAGTGAAGGAGCAGAAAATTGCCACTCACTCTCTGCCCTTTTCCTGCCAAGCGACACTCATTCTCCTGATTTGGCAATGCTGGCCAATGGATCTGAAAAGAGAAAGAGAAAGAAGGATCATCTTGATATGCCAAATCTATTCCCAATCCTTTTGGCTTTCTTGGTTCTCCAGCCCACTTATGCTTGGCTTTTCTTAGTTTAAGCTACAGCCCAATGAATCCTAAACATCTTGCAAGGTACGTATGTGTACCTATCCCACTGCCTTATTTACTCTATTGCATCTGTCAACCCAGCCCAAGGCAGTTAGCAACCACTGCAGGAAAATGTTGGGCGTGAGGAATCTCAGAGTTCCTTGTTGCTCTCTGAGCTCGGTTGTTTTCTTGCAGACGTTTTAGTACCCAAACTAAGTAACATCATCAGTGCTAGCATGATCAACATTCTGAACTGATCCAGCAGGAGTTGTTTTTTTTTAAAAAGACTTACAATGAGTGGCTCCTTGTTGATGTTGTGAAGATCCAAGGCCACCAGAAAATCTCGTGCCCCCAAGTAGAGACGTTCCTGGTCTTGGTCCACCAACAAGATGCGATAATCGCTTGTGTTAAAGTTGAAGCTGAAAGGACGAGCAGTGCGGCTCTCTAACAATTCTGTGAAGGGAGAGACTCAGAGTCAACCACCAGTCTCACAGAGCCTCAGAGTCAACTACCACTTCTCAGGAGTAGGACACCCTTTGCACACTGACAAAAGGAGAGGTCAGGCTTGCCTAAATACATTTTTAGGAATCTTTATGTAAAGTGAACTTTGGTTATCTTACTATAGTGGGGAAAGCTGTCAACTGATAACTCATTCAATTTGCTGCCTGAAGGTTCAGCACTGATGGGCAACTCCATGGTCTTCACTGCTCCTTACTCTTCCCACCTATTGACTCTTTTCATCTGAGCAAGGTCCAAAAAAAGTCTGCTTTCTTAGAGATATCTGGCCCCTGACCAGCCTTCTGGAAGAGGACAGTGTCCTCTAGGATGAATTTGCCTGTTCACCTGACCACGCAAAGGACAAGAACTCAGAATCCTAATCTGAACTTTTTTTCTTACCCTTTCCCCCCTCCCCTTGCACACAGAAAGGGCAGCAACTGGATCATGTTGATCCATGTGATGGGTGGGGTGGGCTGGCTTGACTTGGGCTGAGCTCAGGGGGTATTTTGGTCCCTTGAAGTGGCAAAGGCGGAGCCAACGTGGGTGAGGGGGGTGCTCAGCGGCTGGTACAGCAAAGAGTCTAAATCCCCCAGCAATCCCCCAGCCACATTCCATAGGCACAGATCAGAGAGGGATGGGGTGAACTTCCCACCTGTGGTGACCTTGGGGACAAAGCCAGAGGACGCCAGCCAGGTCCAGTTATGCTCTGTAGTCAAGTCTAGGCAAGAATGCAGAGATCAGGGACCAAAATTGGACTAATCCCTTTAGGCAAGTGGGCTAAAGCCAGGAAGAAAAGCAGATTTCCAGGAGGTCAAAGAGGAACAGATGCAGGTGAGAGATGAGTCTGGGGAGATGAGGAATTAAAATCAAATTAAAGAAACAGCCAAGCCAAGAGTAGAATTGCAGGATTCTGACCAATCTCTCCTTTCTCTGTCCAGTTAGTTCAGCTGACATCTCCCATCTCTTCTCTGGAAGCTGGGAAGGATTTCTGGAAACCTGATGGAATTCCCCAGGCATTAACACATGGCAGGTGGGAGACTATCATGCTTGCCCCAAGAAATAATGGCAATCTGCCCCATGGCAATCTGCCCAGGGGTGGGCTGTGTCATGCATACTACCCAGTTTTGATATACAATGACCATTATATAACATTGGGGGTATATAGCAGTGCCATTAGTCTCTTCTAAGACAACCTAGCAATATTAGGCTATCAGGTATCCTTGACTGTGATGGAAAATGAACTAAGTCCTTCAAAGCAGAACCTCTTGTAAGCATCTTCCCAACCTTTCCCCCTCCTGCATCCATTTATCACCAACTGAGTGCTGATAATGTGTGTGTGTGTGTGTGTGTATGTATGTATGTATGTATGTATGTATGTATGTAGAGGTTTACTGGATGTCAGATGAAGAAGGTCTCACTCCCCTAACGGACGTCTCTGAGACCAAAAAAATATTTCTAGCGCAACTGCCGTACCCTCAGGATTGTGTGGGTGGAAACCACTGGTGGTTTGGGGGAAACAATCTGTTCACAAGGTTTTCAGGGATGCTATCTGGAATTGGCAGCGGGGTTGACTCAGTGGTTAACAAGCTGGGCTTGTCGGCTGGAAAGCTGGGAACCCAGGTTTTGAGACCTGAGCACCACGCTATGGGGTGAGCTCCCGTTACTTGCTCCAGGTCTTGCGCACCTAGCAATTTGAAAACATGCCAATGAGAGTAGATGAATAGGTATGACTTCGGTGGGAAGGTAACAATGTTCCATGATGTCATGCTGAACCATCTGACTGTGGAAATGTCTTTGGACAGCGCTGGCTCAATGGCCCTTGAAATGAAGATGAGCATGCCCCCTAAAGTCGGCTACGACTAGTGGAGTAAAATCCACAGGGACTCCTTTACCTTTTTTTCCCCCCCTACCATCTGGAATTTCCATACCCAGAAGAAGTCCAATCTGTGGCAAACAAGGAAGCCTTTAGATAGGAGTTATGCCTTGGCAGAAATGGAGCCCTTGGGTTCCACAAACCCCTTACTGTTCTATCTCATAGGTTTCCCCACCCTTGGGAAGAAGGAGGGATGGAATCTGGAGGAGCCAACAAGAAATCAGGAAACATTAGAATCATCTGTCATCTTACAGGCAGACTGAAGCAGGCTGTGGCCAGCCAAAACAGTCAGCAGCAATATGTGCCTGGGAACTGCAACCGGTCATCACGTTGGTCTTTGGCACAATGACTGAAGCTCTTTGGGCTTAATGTACCTTTTTTTCAGCCTTAGCCCCAGCACCTCCCTAAAGAAATATCCCAAGCAAGCTGAATTCTGCTCAGGCAAATAATTGCTTCTGCAATCACAGAACTGCGACTTGCATTTCTGTGTTATTCGAAGAGCGAACAGTAATAGTATGTTAGTCAAGATTAGTTTCTCTGTCAGGCAAAATGAAAACAAAAAACAAAAAAGAAAGCTCAGGTGGGCAAATTGAGAAGAAATGAAGGAACACTTTAGAACAGACCCAAGTTGCCTAACTTCCTAAGCTTAAAAAAAAAGGTGCCTTCTGCTACGAGAGAGATGCTGTCCTGTCACTCATTCCGAAGTGAGATTCAGCAGCTTTTTTTGTTTTTGTAGCTGGTACAAGAGGGCACCATTTTATATCCTGGGTCACCTTTCTTGCTGCTAGAGCTTTCAGGAGGGGAAGCAGAATTAGTTACCCTATAACGGTACTTCCTATAATAACCTGGTAAAAGAAATCAGTGTTATTATCCTTTATATTGCAGAGGGGTGGGGGGTGGGCAGAGCCTGTCCAGGACATTTGGTCGCTTGAGATGGACCTCCCCGGCTCTGCCGTTAACCAGAAATGGAGCAGAATGGCAGCTGTTGAGGCTTTCAACGTTGGAAACAGGTAGCAGTTTCCATTGCACCAAAGGGTAGCAGGATAGCTCAGGAGCGAGTACAGGGGGCAGAGCTGTATGCCCCATCACCAGCTCAACCCTCTAATCCAGGGGTAGTCAACCTTGACTCTTTTATGACTCGTGGACTTCAACTCCCAGAATTCCTGAGCCAGCGCAGGAGTTGAAGTCCACGAGGAGTTGAAGTCCACGAGGAGTGGCTGGGAGTTGAAGTCCACGAGTCATAAAAGAGCCAAGGTTGACTACCCCTGCTCTAATCCCTTCCCCTTTTTCCCTGTAACCCAGCACCGGCCTTAGCCCCTATAAGGGCAGGTCCAATCTGCCTACATAAAGAACCAAAGCTGAGAGAAAACAGCTGGCTAAAGCTGACTGTGTTCTTGGCAAGAGTTGAGGTTCAACCAAAAAATAATTCATTTCCACGAATGAAGGCAAATAGATGTGTCCCAAGATAATGTCGCAGGATCCAATCTGGGTCGGTCACTAGGACCAGAGGTTTAGTTTTCCGAGCTTTCGGATTTGTGCTGGAGCCCCCATCCCTCAGGGAACTTCTCTGTCACCCAGAATGTGTGCTTTGGGCTATTCTATGCGTAGTATTTATGCGGTGTCTGGTTGTGTGTGGCTTTTTTAGTTGTTGATTGGGGTGTTGATGGCCAGAAGGCTGTACCTCTGGTCCTGATGACCGACCCATAACTGGCCATCAACACCCCAATCAACAACTAAAAAAGCCACACACAACCAGGCACCACATAAATACTCCGCCTAGCACACGTTCTACTCAAAGCACATGTTCTAGTGAGAGAGAGATTCCCTGAGGATGGGCTCCAGCACGGGTCCGAAAGGTCTAGAACCTCCGGTCCCAGTGACCGACCCAGATTGGATCCTGCATAATTCATCCTGTTTGTCACTATCTTCCGTCAGTTTCATAGAATGAACAAGCACAGTTAGACTATTGACTTACAACTAGTAATTACAGGGCCCTCTCAAAAACCTGAACATGCTGTAGTAATAAAAGGGCCTGACTTAGAAGGAAAAAGCTCCTTATGGAGCCCGCTTAATCCAAATATGCTGCCTTTATGGGGCAGACCTTGCTTAAGCCACAGCAGACATAGCCACAGGGACCTGCTGTTGTACTTGCCACCACCATCCCCCAAACCCAGAATAATCAACATGACGAGCTATGGACTGGTGGAAAACTTCCCCTGGAAGACCCCTGCCTCCTCAGAGTGTTCCCAAGGAGGATTCGGGCTGAACGTCCCACCAGAAACCCCCCTGCCAGATGGCACACACCCTTTCCAGTTTCCTGGGAGGAAGACCCAAGTCCCTGACATCTTCACTAGCTGCGTATCCCTTATGGTCCACCTATGTACGTCCATGAGCCTAAGCAGGCACATGGAGTAGGTGCGTGACTCTTTGCCCATTCGGGCACACGCGCGTGTACAGAGAAACCAGAGTGATGTCTGGAGCTTTGCCTTTTATAGCCAAGCTGCTGCTGCCGCCCAAAGGAATGAATTGTCCTTTGGCCAAGGCTCTTGCTGTTTCTTTATGCGCCCCCCTCCCTTTCACATGTACACATGAGCCACATTTTCATAGTTGAAGGAAAGGACGGCAAAGCAACTATAGTGAGAACAACAGCAGGGTATCTATAGCAGGGAACGTGGCATGCACACCCTGGTCATTAAGCTCCTCTCCAGCCCAAGCTCCCTCTCTTCCCCTGCCCCACAATGTGCTTTTGGAAGGGGAATCCATCCATGTTCTAGCCTCTGTATGGCATGCTGGGTATTTTAAGCCCTTCTGGGAAATCCTTTCCCCCAGTGGCTGGCAAGTAATTAGATCCCGGAATCCCCAAGAACAGAGAGTGTAGGGGAACCCAGCAAGGTCACAGGATATATTTTTTTGGGGGGGGGGAGAGAATGCTTGCAGAAGAAGGCAGAGGGACCCACAAATGATGGTACGATGTGCCTAACACAGCAGTAACTTGTACACCCTCTTTAGAAAAACATTCACAGCAAAAACGCAAACCATTAGCAATACAGAGACAGGCAAGGGTGTGACTCTGTTGACAGCCACAAACTGATGCATCCATCATACACAGACAAGCTGCTTCGATTGGCTGCCTTGGGTCCACATGGCCAAACTGTCCTTGAAGGTGGGTCTGCGCATATCACACTCACCAGCCCCATAGAATGTTTAAACCATAAAACCACTGAGAAAATCTATAATCTACAATCAGCCTTTTTTTTTTTAATCAACTGGCCATCTCAGGTCAGAAATCTGGGAATCTGGGAGCTTGAAGTTATTTGCACTTTGCATCTTGTTAATGCAAAACTTGCTGCTTTTCAGAATGTATAGAAGCAGCTGCTGAAACAAGGCTGTGCACTGTCAGGTCTATATCTGTTTCGCATTAGGTCCATCATAAGACCACCACAGGAACCCATTACCATAAATAATATTAAAATGGGGGAAAAAAGAGATTAACACATGAAAGCCAGAGCTGCTCCCTTGTTAGAAATGACTACAAGCTTCCTCTTTGACAACAAGATCTCCTCCATGTAGCAGCTGACTCATAGAAAAGAAATTATCCTCTACTAGTAAATCTCCATGGTATTTAGTTTGATGCTAGGGATGGAAAGAATTCTTGGCAAAAAGGAGCAGATTGTTGGTTTGATCCAAACAAAGCCATTATCTTAACTGGACAGTTCTTATTTGCTGTCCCACCAGAATCCACTTGTATTGTAGTTTGTTTTCAGAGATAAGAAGCACAGATATACTGCTTTCCTCTAAGTTGTTGTTGGTAGCTTACCTGGGCATTATCTCTTTTTATCCTCATAGTCTGTCTATGAATTATATTAGGCTGAGATTGACCAAAGTAAGGTTTTCTTGCCTTCCTGGGACTCCCCAGGAATATCGCTGATTACTTTGGGCACCAGTATCAATAATCTGAGCAGTGATATGATGCAGGAATAATTCCTTTCCCCATGGTAACAATCCATTCCTAGGACAGTCAAAATGTTTACTCGAGCTATCAGAGCGCATAGTTAAAATTATTGGTGAGCAAGTCATTGTGTTTTCATAATCACCCCTTTTAGCATTAAGCAGCAATTCGGCAAACTTCTTAGAAAATATGTTTAGTCCAATTTGAATGGGCGACTATAAGGATATTTCAGGGTCGGCACCAGCAGACCAGTTCCACAGTGTTGCCAAGAAAACCAGGACAAAATTAACAGAAGTTGTCAACTTAAGAAGGACCATAGTTTATTTTAACAATGTTATTTAGTTGTTAAAGAAGTGGTGTTCCTGCTGCTTTTCTTTCTCATAGTAAAACCTCGGAACTTGTTACAATACTGTCATTTTCAAAAGGAAGGAAGGAAGGAAGGAAGGAAGGAAGGAAGGAAGGAAGGAAGGAAGGAAGGAAGGAAACGAAACCTAGATTTACTCCAGCTTTCCTGAAAAATGCATTCTCTACCATGGACAAGTCCAACTGGGGAAGAGTCTTTTAAGCATAGTCCAGCTAATACAAGGATAATTCCTTGCTCAGCTAATAAAAATGCATAGTCATATACAGCAGATTCACTATTGTTCTTTGAAAGACTACCTTCATCTAACTTATTTTCTTAAATTTTCAGGTTTTATCCCTTCAGATAATCTGCTACTATGAAATCCCTTATCTAGGCTAACAGGCTGGGTGACGGACGGTATAAGTCTTTAAGAAACAAAGAGAAGAACAAAAATCAGAAGGTTGCACTTTTCCCAACGGGTGAGTTTTATTCGTCTGGAAAGGTGCTACCAGCTGCTTTTCTGATTTTTTTTTTTTGAACACAAGAATCTCTTCCTACAAGCAGAAAAAAAGGCTCTCTATTCTGTCAAGAGTTTTGCAATGGATTGCCATGCCCCACCCTTGCCCACCCCAGTGCCACCTTGCAGCTTTCTCCCTTCTCCGAATGCAGACATGCCCATCCAAGAGAGGAGATTTTTGCCGCCGGAAGGCAAAAGGCAGTCTTACCCCGGGACTCACCCGAATGACTTTAAACCTCTCTTACCTTTGTAGGTGAGGTAGACCCGGGGCGCTCCCGTCTGGCTGCTGTGGCCCAAACAGCAGCAGAACAACAGCCCCAATAGGAGCAGCGTTGCCCAGGGCACCATGGCGGGGTCAATCCTATAAGAAGAGAAAAGGTGATGCCCCGCTGGACCTGGGTTCGAACGACGGAGGATGTTGGAGGCAGAGGCGCCGCGTTGCTGCAGGGAAGCGGGGGGGGGGAGAGACGGGCCCGGGCCTAGAGGGCGCTGTGCGGAAGTAACCAAGATCAAAGTTCCCTTCCTCGCCCGTCCCACCGGGCCCCGGGCCAAGCAGCTGTAACCCGAGTGGCGGCCGCGGCTGATGGGCACTTCAAAGGCTCTCTCTCTCTCTCTCTCTCCCGGCCAGCTCTTGTAGATCCCCCGCCCTTCTTGCAGGCCAGCAAGCCTTTGAAGTTGGGGCTAGAAAACGGGAGACCCAAGATAGGCTCTCCTTCTTTCCCCCCAGCCCCCCCCCAAAAAAAGAAAAAAAGGGGGGGGGAAGGCAGACTACCTTACCGGGCTCCGCCTGCATCGCTAAGAGCCCCCCGCCCCACTCCCTTGGAAAGAGCGACCCCTGCCGGGGTCCGAAACGCAGGCGCTCCAATATAGGTAGAGAACCAGAGCGGGGAGGATCCTTTAATCTTGGGACGGCCCCCTTCATTCTGAAGAGGGCATCGAGGTTCGAGCTGCTGCCATTCTGGACGCAGGCTTGGGCTTTGCCGTGGCCTCCTGACGCCATCACTCTCAGTACAAGGGACGCAGGAACGGCAGCAATCCCTCCCCGCACCCCAGCCGGGCTATAATCTTCCCCATGCCACGGAACAGGTGCCCGGGGACAATGCCAGCAGCAAGCCCTCCCAGCACCAGCGCAACTCCGGGACTCGGTGCCAGCAGGGCCTGCCGGGGGAACTTTGATCTGCCTGCCAAAGCCCGCTTTTTTTCCTCTCCCCCCCCCCCACTCCCGGCCCCGGAGCGGGTGCCTGCGTGCGTCTGTGTGTGTTTCTGCGCGCTCCGTCCCGTCCTGCCTGCCTGCCGACGTGCTGCGACCTGCCTCTCCCATACCTGAGCCAGGTGCAGCGGAGGAAGCAGCGCAGGCTGGGACTTGGAGTCCCAACTGGCCCCCGTCGATTGCCACCCATCCTCAGGCGCTCAAAGACGCGTCCGCCTGCCCCGCTCAGAACCTTCGCCAAATTCCCGCTCGGTCGCTTTTCCCAGTCTGGCAGGAGAGCACAAAGCCGGGCTCAGCGCCTGAAGATGCTCTGGCGAGATTTCAAGGGAGCCGGGACTCTCCCGCCTCTGCTCCGCGGCTGGCTGCATCTCCGCCAAAGTTGTCGGCCATCCCGAAGGCAGGTTTCCCCCCACCACCACCACCACTCCCGGGAGACAAGAACTTCCCTGGAGTCTTGCCAGGCGTCTTGCCGGCTGGCCCGCGAAGAGAGCAGGGTTGAAAAGCGAAGCCCAAGCGGCTTCCTCTGGTGGCACCGCCGGCAGCTTCCGAAAGCGCCCGGAGAAATCTAGGATAGGCTGAGTCCGCAGGCAAAACCGGGAAAAAAAAAGTGGGGGGGAGGGCGCGTGCGGCAGAATAGAAGTAGCCAGTTCACCGCGGCGGGAACGTGGATCAGGAGCTGAAATCCGACGGCTTAAGAGCGCCGAGACGACGGGAGCAAAGAGGTCCCTTACCCGGCGGTAGCTCTCCGCTCCGAGGCCAACTCCCCGGGTTTAGTTCCAGTCAGCTCTTCTGTGCCCAGGAAAGTTTCTCCGGGCTGTACTTCTAATCCAGCGGGGCAAGCGGTTGTGAGGAGGGAGGGACATGTCTGTTCCCCCCCCCCCTTCCCCAGATTTTATACCTCTGCGAAAGGACCTAAGGCGCAGGGTTTGCCACCAGGACAGGCCTGCAGTTCCGAGCTTCCTTGGAGCAGATAAGCACACCCTGCCTCCCCTAGATAGGCTGGGACGGCTTAACCCCTTCGTGGCGCGGCTGCTTCTAGAGCCAGGAGGGAAGCCTGACTGCAGGTCTGGGGGGAGAGCCCCTCTCCCTCTCCTCCCTCCCCCAGAATCAAAGGGGCAGACCGAACTCCGGGAAAATGGGGACCAGGAGGCGAATAGGGAACGTTGCTGAGGAGATTGAGCCAGGACTGCTCCATCAGATCGTGGCGATCTGACTGCGATCGACGGGACGTTTCCCTTCTCTTCCTGTTGCTGCTATAGCCAACTCCTAGAGCTGGGCCGGGCGCCTTTCACACGAGGCGTAGTGGCGGGAAGCGGCGAAGGAAGGAGGGAACTGGTTGTCACCACCACCTTTCGATCCAGGAAGGCCCGGAGGCCCATTCCTCCTCTCCAGAGCTGTATGCAAGCGGCTAGCCGCACCGTTGACTCTCCCCAACAAGGAGGGGCCCAGAAACAGAGGGGAGGGGAGATCAGGTGCTGGTGGAGCCCCAAGTCGATGGTAAGGAAAAGACGCTTTGCCAGATCCTGGGAAGCAGCGGCGAGATGACTTTTAAGTACATGCAAGTGCCTCCTTTTTTTCCCCTTCCCCGTACTGAGTTTATAAGTAGGTCTGGTTCTCAATGGCCTCCAAAGTCGTTCCAAAGTTCTTCCTTCGGAGAAAAACAAAACAAAACAGGGATCAATCCAGTACTCTGGATGCATCCAGGATTGGAAGGAAGTCTTGATCGGGCCTGCAAAACCCTGGAGCACCGCTAGAGGGCGCGCAGCAGAGACTTCCTTTCGTAGCTCTTAGCTTCTGAATTGTTTCTGGCTAGAAATCTAGGCCGAAGTCTCCCCTGCCTGCCTCAGGCTTTGCTCTCCCTCAGCTGCACGGGCGCCACACCGATCCCCAAATGCAGCAGCAATGGTGTACCCCATTATAAAGGTAGGAATGCTCTCCTAACTCAGTTCTGCCTCCAGAAGACAAGGCCAGAGCTGCTTCCAACCTTTAGTTATTGCTCAAATGCTTCTGCTGTGCCTTCAGAGGTTATACCCTTGGGAAGGAGAAAAGAAGTTTCTTTATGGCTTGGAATTTACTTCCTGGAGTTGGGATTATATCCCACATACATATCAGGAGAAGCCCAGGCTCCCAGCCTGGTCTAGTTGAGGCTCTTCCTTAAACTTCTGGCCAGAGAGGTTAATGTATTATAATGCTAAAGAAATCACTGCAAACATAGCAGTACAGGCACTTAGATACAAAGGAAACAACTAAATATAGAAAAGATAAATAGAAGAAAATAGATTCATGGAAACTGAACACAGAGTGCATCTAACTAGGGCAGTGATGGCAAACCTTTTAGAGACTGAGTGCCCATAGTGCAACCCAAAACCCACTTATGTATTGTCGGGTGCCGGGTGGGCATAGCCTATTGGGTGGGTGTGTCCAATTGGGTGGGCGTGGCCCATTGGCTGCGGTGGTAACTGTAGACTGAGTGGGATTAAAAACTTCAATCAATCAATTCCAACTTTGCGAGATTTTTTTTTCCCGCGAGAAGTTGAAATTGATTGATTGATTGAACCTTTTTTTTTTTTGCACATTTTGGCGGAGGCCTCAAGCGAAAACGTTTTATAAAACACAGCTGAAGGCCTAGGACTGGGGCAATGGCACACGTGCCCACAGAGAGGGCCCTGCGTGCCACCTGTGGCATGCGTGCCATAGGTTCGCCACCACGGAACTAGGGCATCAGTTTGTGGAAGCTCAAAAGGGTATGATAGTAAATTACCCATTTTATTTCATTCACTTATCTACAAAAGTGTATTTGAAATTTACCACATTCCAAACTAATATTTTCTAGAAAATACAGCTGAGGTTGATTTCCTGATTAGCATCAATGGATTCTGGACTGATCTGAAGGTTTTATTTATGCTTCATTGCATAGTCAGTCAGATGGATTTGGCATTTTTGTCCTCCTGTCCAGTCCTTCCCAAGGACCTGAAATAGGTAGTTGTGGATGTTTTAATCGTGTTAGAGGTATCGTCGCAGGATGTAAGTTGTTCCGAGTAGAGCTGCCTTTTGCAATTGATTGATGGTGAATTTGTCAATGCTGCTGGTGTTTAAGTAGTACTCCAGCTATTTTGTGATTGCATCTATGGTGCCTGTTACTATTAGTACTATCTTTGCTTTCTTTTGCCACAATAATTCTATTTCCATTTGCAAGTCTTTATATTTTCTTATCTTCTCCAGTTCTTTCTTGTCTATTCTGCTGTTTCCAGCTACTGCCATGGCCACAATCCAGTCTTTCTTTCTTTCTTTCTTTCTTTCTTTCTTTCTTTCTTTCTTTCTTTCTTTCTTTCTTTCTTTCTTTCTTTCTTTCTTTCTTATTACATTACATTACATTACATTAATTTGTTTGCTGTCCATCTTGCTGCAAGGTTCAGAGGAAATCAGAGATGATCCAGTTGATCAGAACAACCCAGCTGATTTGATACTCCTTTCCTGGAGAGTCAAGCAGAACAAAATGATTCATGGGTGTTTAGTTAAACTGTTAAAGTATCCTGCAGATGCAAAGGAGCAGAAGGCCAACACATGCTGAAGAGCAGTGTTTTTTTAAACTTGGCAACTTTAAGATGCATGAATTCCAACTCCCAGAATTTTCCAACCAGGATGCTGGCTGGAGAATTCTGGCACTTGAAGACTACGTATCTTAGTGAAGTTTGAAAAACACTGATCTTAAGGGTTTGGGGAAAGTAATGCTAACGGAGGGGTGTTAAAATGCCCAATTAGTGTCAGAAATAGTCAGCCATCAAGGTTTTTTTTCCTGGAATTTAAGGAAAAATGAGGTTTTTTTCTGGTGGCTGAATTAAAAATAGATTGCAAAAGTATTCAGCCATAACTGAATACTTAGGGTATGTTTGCGTACAGATGGTCCCTGGTTCTATCACTAGTTAAAATGATGCAATAATTGATGGAAAAGACCACTCTATACCTGATATCCTGGAAGACAGCTGGGTAGAATGATACATACTACATTGTGCTGGAGAGACTCAATTTTGGGAATTAAAATACTAAGGCTCAGTTAAGCCTTAAATTCAATGTCAGCATTTTCAGTCAGGCTGGGAAAAAGTCTTCATCAGAAATCCTGCTAGTGTAGCCAGGAAGA